GGGGCGGGGAAAAATGGAGAGCTTGAATTTGGGGGAGGGGCAGCAGAGAATTGAAGGGGAAGACCCCCAAAATTTGAGGGGCACAAAATTGATGGCGGGGGGAATGCAGTGGGAGCCTCAGTTTGGGGGTTCCCATGGTTGGGTGTTTAGCAAGGCAGAAGGAGCCCCCAAAAAGGTGGATCCCCCATAGTGGGGGGGGGGTCTGTGATGCTGGGGGGGTTTTGGGGTGCCCTGACCCCCCCATTTTCACCCAGGGGTGAAGGTGATCCTGGACCTGACCCCAAACCCCGCCGGGAATCCGGTGTGGGGGGACGCAGCCCAAGACTCTGAGGTGCACCAGCAGGTCCAGGTGGGTCTGGGGGGGCTGTGGGGTGGGGGTGGGGGGCTTGGGGGTGTGGGGGACCCCCCTGAACCCCCCCTGTGCCCCCCCAGGCCGCCCTGAGCCATTGGCTGAAGGAGGACATTGCTGGGATCTTCCTGGATGGCATCGAGGAGCTCCCGGTGAGGGGGCTGGGGGGGATTTGGGGGAGTTTGGGGTGGAATTGGGGGTTTGGGGCAGAATTTTTGGGGTTTGGGGTAGAATTTTTGGGGTTTGGGGCAGAATTTTGGGGGTTTGGGGCAGGATTGGGGGGTCTTTAGGATCTCTGGTGACCCCCGCTGTGTCCCCCCAGAACTTGGTGGTGGCCCAGTGGAGGAACCTGACGGAGCAGCAGCCGAGCCCCAGCGGTGTGGACAGGTGCGACCCCCCAAAAAACGTCCCTGTGTCACCCCAATGTCCCCCCAAACTCACTGACCCCAAAATGTGTCCCCTGTGTCACCCCCAAACTCACTGACTCCCCCCCAAACCTCTCCTCCTCTCACTCTTTGCCTCATGGGTTTCTTCCTTGTATTTTGGGGTGCTGGGAGTGCTCCCCTGACCTTCCCACCCCCATTTTTGGGGTGATTTTCTGACCTTTTGCCCCTATTTTTGGGGTGCTTCCCTGACCTTTTCTAGGTCAGGAAAAGGTTGTTTTTTGGTTGTTGCTCTGATCTTCAGTTTTGAGGTGCTCCCTTGACCTTCCCGCCACATTTTTGGGGTTCTCCTGTGATTCATCCTCCCTGTTTTCCAGGTGTCCCCCTGCTCTTTCCCTCCTCATTTTTGGGGTGCTCCCCTGACTTTTCCCCCCTGATTTTTAGGGGTACTCACCTGACTTTTTCCTATTCATTTTTGGGGTGCTCCCCTGCCTTTTCCCCCCTGATTTTTGGGGTACTTACCTGTTTCCTCTTCATTTTTTGGCGTCTCCTCTGATCTTTTGCTCCTCATTTTCAGGGTTCTCCCCTGACTTTTCCCCCTGATTTTCAGGGCTCTCCCCTGACTCATCCCCCCCATTTTTGGGGTGCCCCTGTCTGTTTTTAGGGTGCTGGTGGGGGGCACACGCCTGCAGGACCCCTGGGAGGTGCCGCGGGGCCCGGGGATGCCGCAGCTGCTGCTGGGACCCTTCCTGCAGCCCCTGGAGCCCAAGGGCGACTCCAAGGCCCC